ATTCAACACCCATTTTTGATAAAAACTCTCAGTAAGGCGGGAGTAGAAGGACCATACCTCAACATAATAAAAGCCATATATGACAGGCCCACAGCCAACATCATACTCAATGGACAAAAACTAACACCATTTCCCCTAAGAACAGGAACAAGACAGGGATGCCCCCTCTCACCACTCCTGTTCAACATAGTACTGGAAGTGTTAGCCATTGCAATTAGGCAAGAAGAAGAAATAAAAGGCATCCAAATTGGAAAAGAGGAAGTAAAACTGTCGTTATTTGCAGATGACATGATATTATACATACAAAACCCTAGAGACTCCATCAAAAAGCTACTAGACATAATACATGAATTTGGCAATGTAGCAGGATACAAAATTAACCCCAAGAAATCTGAGGCATTTCTATGCACCAATAGTGAACTTTCAGAAAGAGAGATTATAAAAACAATCCCGTTTACCATCGCACCCAAAAAAATTAAGCTACCTAGGAATAAACTTAACTAAAGAGGTAAAAGACCTCTACTCAGAAAACTACAGGACGTTGAAAAAAGATATAGAGGAAGACATAAACAGATGGAAGAACATACCGTGCTCATGGATTGGTAGAATCAACATCATTAAAATGTCCATACTACCCAAAGCAATCTATAAATTCAACGCACTTCCCATTAAAATACCAACGGCATACTTCATAGATCTAGAACGAACTCTCCAAAAATTCATCTGGAATAAAAAAAGACCCCGAATAGCTGCAGCAATCCTGAGAAAGAACAAAGTAGGTGGGATCTCAATACCAGATATCAAGATGTATTACAAAGCCACTGTTCTCAAAACTGCCTGGTACTGGCACAAGAATAGGCATATAGATCAATGGAATAGAATAGAGAGCCCAGAAATCGGCCCGAACCAATATGCTCAATTAATATTTGACAAAGGAGGCAAGAACATACAATGGAGCCAAGATAGTCTCTTCAATAAATGGTGTTGGGAAAATTGGACAGATATATGCAAGAAAATGAAACTAGACCACCAACTTACACCATACACAAAAATAAACTCAAAATGGATAAAGGACTTAAATGTACGACAGGAAACCATAAAAATTCTGGAAGAATCCAAAGGCAACAAAATCTCAGACATATGCCGAAGCAATTTCTTCACTGATACAGCTCCTAGGGCACTTGAAACGAAAGAGAAAATGAACAAATGGGACTACATCAAAATAAAAAGCTGCTGCACAGCAAAAGAAACCATCAACAAAACAACGAGAAACACTGTGTGGGAAAACATATTTGCCAATGTCATATCTGATAAGGGCCTAATCTCCAAAATTTATAGGGAACTCATACAACTTAACAAAAGGAAGATAAACAATACAATCAAAAAATGGGCAAATATTATAACAAGGTTGACAGTAAATAATAAACAACAGAAAAGTAGGAGAGAATCAGAGTGATAAAACAAAGATAGACAGTATAATAAAAACAGGTGAAAAGTGCTTAAGTGGGAGTTCCCAGTTTTGTATTGAATATAGGGGTCAAGGTAGGACTCTTGAGAATATAAGATTTGAAATGAATATTGTAGGCAATGAGGAATTAGCCGATAGAAATGTATATGGTATAAAGGCCAGGAAAATGATCCAGAAAATATGAAAGGATTTGTAGTAAAAAGTAATAATTTCCACTTAGTACCCATTTTGCTCTCTGTTAGACATAAGCGGAGCAAGGAAAATTGCCGGAAGCTGGTCCATCCTTGCTGCTTGACACAGTCGCTGCAGGAAAGAAACATCTGCACAGCATATGTTTCAAGGGACCTGGCGTATATAGCATACTGTTCTTAATATGTTTGCTCCCCTTAGCGCTGTGTGTTTTAACCAAGGTCACCTCTCCGAGAAAGGTTGTTTCCCCAGGTAGGAATTTTTCCCTGAAGTCAGGGAGGGGATGCCTCTCCTAGAAAGGTTGTTTCCCCAGGTAGGGATTTTTCCCTGAAGTCAGGGAGGGGATGAAACTCCTTAACTAAGTGCCAGGCGGGTAGTTAATCACTTTAACTACAAACAATCACGCTTAAGCTACATAATCTTTACTCCCTGGAATGGAGATAAGAAACGCCCTAACCTTTGTAATAGAAATTGACAGGATTAAAATCAACTGGGATAAATACGGATGTAACAAGACAATAAACAGCAGAACTTCGCTGGAGATCCAGACCAGAACTTGGCTGGAGATCCTGGCTAGAGATCCTGGCTAGGTTGCTGATCAAAAAAAAAAAAAAAAATGGGCAAAGGACCTAAATAGACACCTTTCAAAAGAGGACATTCAGAAAGCCAAGAGTCATATGAAAACATGCTCAAAGTCACTAATCATCCGAGAGATGCAAATCAAAACAACAATGAGGTACCATCTCACACCTGTCAGACTGGCTATCATCAACAAATCAACAAACGACAAGTGCTGGAGAGGATGTGGAGAAAAAGGAACACTTGTGCACTGCTGGTGGGAATGCAGACTGGTGCAGCCACTATGGAAGACAGTATGGAGTTTCCTCAAAAAACTGAAAATGGAACTCCCATTTGACCCTGTGATCCCACTTCTAGGAATATATTCCAAGAAACCAGAAACACCAATCAGAAAGGATATATGCATCCCTATGTTCATAGCAGCACAATTCACCATAGCTAAGATCTGGAAACAGCCTAAGTGCCCATCAGTAGATGAATGGATTAGAAAACTGTGGTACATCTACACGATGGAATACTATGCTGCTCTAAAAAGGAAGGAACTCTTACCATTTGCAATGGCTTGGATGGAACTGGAGAGCATTATGCTAAGTGAAATAAGCCAGTCAATGAAGGAAAGATACCACATTATCTCACTCATTCATGGATAATAGAGACCATTATAAACTTTTGAACAATAATAGATACAGAGGCAGAGCTGCCTCAAATAGATTTAAATAATAATTAAAAAAAAAAAAGAGAGACTTGCAAAAATAGGAAAAAAAAAAAAGGCTTGGAATCACAATAAAGAAGAAGCTCTAACCCAATTGATTTTATTAGAGAATATATTAAGATTAGTCAGAAATAGAATGAATGAGTGAACTTAGCAGGAATGTATACAGGTATAAAAGGAAAACACACAGAATATATGTTCATATTCCTGTGATCACAAAAATAGGAAAAAAAAAAAAAGGCTTGGAATCACAATAAAGAAGAAGCTCTAACCCAATTGATTTTATTAGAGAATATATTAAGATTAGTCAGAAATAGAATGAATGAGTGAACTTAGCAGGAATGTATACAGGTATAAAAGGAAAACACACAGAATATATGTTCATATTCCTGTGATCACAAATGTGAAAGAAATTCAGAGTACAGTTAAGTCTGACGTTGTAAGCATAAGGTTCTGTCAACTTAGTAATAGGACCACCTTCTTACCAAAGATATGGAGAAAAAAACCCATGCAAATTGAGTATTAATAATCAGAGGTAAAGCCAAATGTACTATAACTTCCATCTTGAAATAAAATCTGGGAAATGTCTGGGAAGGATTTGTGTTAGATTAAGAATGAGGTTATGAGGCAAATATTTTTAGTTTAAAAGAGGCAATTTGGGCCAGTTTACTGGAATGTATCTGGATATGATGCATACCAGTTGTTTCTCCCATTAAAATTTGTCAAAACCAGAGTAGATAATGCCAGTTACCATCACTACTAGGAAAGAAAATGGGGACTTAGCCAGAGTGGCTCAGTTGGTTGAGTGTCATCCTGTGCTCCGAAAGGTTGCTGGTTCAGTTCCCAGACAGGGCACATACCTGGTGATGGGGCACGTAAGAAGGCAAAGGATCAATGTTTCTCTCTGTCTCTCAGCATGTCCTCGGGTGAGGATTAAAATAAATAAGTAAGTAAATAAATAAAATGTGTCACTTTTTTTTTTTTTTAAAGAAAGAACACTGGGGAGATGGTCTCCTGGTGACCCATTTGGGTAGTTTACTGCAGGAGATGGCTCATTGTGCTTTTACTTTATTATTTATTTATTCATTTATTTATTTATTTTCATTCTGCTTTTATATCCCAGAAGATTCTGAACCATATAGAACAGGGAAAGCAGAACAGAGAATAGTTTAATCACATTTAATCCTTACAACAATGTAAGATATATAGGGAAAATAATCTGTTACAAAGGAACCTAATGGTCAGAAAAAATGAGGACCTCAGTCACAAAGCATAGAGTTAAAAATATGAATTTATTTATTTTAATTCTGAAGTCTATGTTCACTACAAGCCTCACTTACATCAAAGTATCATCTACATTGCAGGAATGTTGTATGAATTAAATGAAACAGCAGTGCTTTAAAGCACTATTGTGAGCTAGTTTGAAAAATAAACCATAAATAGAAAAATGCATTTCTAGTTCTGAGGAGTATAAATACTTTATTAAACATACATATCCACTTTGCTGTTCATGTTATTATGCAACATGTAATAAGATACATACTTCAGAACTTATCCTATAGCAATAATAACTCCCTACTTCTTGCATAGCTAGGTAAATGATTATTTTTTACTTTCTGATTTTAATAATTAAGAAAATATAACAAAGGGGTATGGTTCTAGTCTAAATTTTTTTTGTCAAAGGCTTTCCAAGTTCACATACAAATATAGCAAAAAGATCCTGGATGCCCCACACCCTCTTTTTTTTTTTTTTTTTTTACACTATGTCAGTATTTTGTGTCTCAAATCAATACAATGAAAACTCATTTGAATATTACCAGACACATGGATTTTAAAAAACTTTTGTGGCATGGTAGCAATCTTAATCTAGAAAGGTGTTAAAAGCTATTGACACATCCTTACTTGTTACAGGAGACAAACTGTTCTTTTTGCAAAAAGACACACAGCATTCCTGCATACATTCATTTTTAAGATGTGGGCTATATAGGATGGTATTATTATTATTAATGGATACCATAACAATTTGTAAACCAACTTGTCACAATACTATACCTTCCTCTCCTTGAACAGGTTCTTCTAATAGCAACTCTGTCATACATTCCCAGTCTTTCAACAGTTCTTGAGAACTCTCCCACAAACTGTCCACCAAGTAGGCTGCATGTTCGTGCAACTAAAAACAACAAATCAAGTGTGACTGAAGAACATTTAATGAAGAAACTACTAATATTTGAGCTAATAAACCATTTTCTTCATAGTTAAAATGGCTTGTTCACAATGTTTCCAATGTATTCCACTATCAATGGAATGTATTATGTAGACTCAAATTAAAAAAAATTTATATAGTAGTAAATGACATCATTTATAGACAAGGAAAAAGAATATGATGAAGAGAATACCTGAAATTATAAACACTTTTCACTATTCTTGGATTGTCTCTTCTATTTTTAAAAATTTATTTATTAAAGGAAATCAATTACTTTCTCTGTGAATTGCATTTGAAACTTTGGTACCAGCCTAAATACTTACTTTATATCTTTGTCACCTTTGGTTAAGGTCAAAAGTTAAAGTTACTCCATCTCTCTTTTCTACTTTCATGTCCATTTAACTTAATGCACTCCACATTCCACTTCACCCTCCCCCCCATTTTTGCTGTTCGTTACTTTTGACAATTTTCTTGATATGTACCCACAATAAACAAACACCAAGTTTCTCATCTAACACTTCATACCAAACTCTCTCCCACTTGTTAGCCATTAAACCATGAAGATTACTCCAATAAAGCTCTTCAGGGAAGATAAGCAGAGAAGGTGTTTGCATTGTTCTTGTTTCTGCTACTTACAATTAACTTCTCCATCCTTGCATAAAAATTATTCCATCTTTGAGGCTCATATATCCAGCTAAACCACTTTGTAGATAAGTGTTTTCCAAGCGACAGATTGCAGCCCATTCATTGTCTGTTAAACTAATTTAATGCACTGAGACCAAAGTTTCAAAAATTGGAACAAAGTAGAAGAGTACATAGCACATCGAAAGATAAGTACTATTTTATATAACTCTTATTTCAGTTATATGTGCTCGTACTTGGTTTTCTCATGAGTAATGTCCCCAAAATGTAGAGCTTTTTAGATCTACTGGTTGTCTGATAGCTTGGCACATTTGGCATGAGTTGGTTTTCTTCCTCACATGCCAATTCCACTATTATTCTTAACTTCAATGTGCATTTTGATGATCAATTTAAAGTTCTGCTTCATTTGACCTTCACAATTCTATACTTCATTTCCACTGCATTTCAAATCTCACATTCTGGTTCTTTAAATGCCTCATGATACACACACACACACACACACACACACACACACACACACACGTCTCCTGATTAGATGGCAGTGATGGGTATACACTAGTATAACAGAATAAGTAAAGAGATTTTAACAAAGAATGTTTCTTGTGAAACATAGGAGATCATACAAGACAATTTTATGATCATGAATCAATTAGAAACACTTATGCAGCTGACAAGAATGCCATAGAGGAGAACTAGGAAATATATTTTAATGTTCTTGTAACACTTTAGTAAACAACAGTAAAAACAGGATACAGTAATACCATCTAAAAATAAAGCAGCAATACATGTTACAAATTATAACTTTAAATAAAAAACAAAACTGCATAAAACTACTGTACTTATGCCTTTTAATATATTAAAAAGAAAAAAAAGTCTTTGGGCTTTCAGAGATCTAAAACATTTTCCTCAATTAATAATTAACCTAGATCATCCTATTCCCTAAACTTTTCAGCAAATAATTTAAATAGTATTTGCATGTCTCATCCATATCAATTTTTGAATCTGTTGTTACTATTATACTATTAAAGTCAAATTTTCATACTGCATTGAATTGCTGCATAATACTTTGAATCCTGTTCCTCTAAATACTAAGGAGGCTAAGGGTATAGTTTGAAATGGTCTATCACAAGAATGATATTTACTGAGTATTTAATGTTTTATCTTAAATATTCACAATCGTTAAGTATTTTACCCACAACATATACTTGCTTTTAAAGAAAACAATGATTTAAACCCTTACTACAAAGTGTGGTTCCTTGACCAGAAGCATAAAAATCACCTAGGAGAGCTTGATAGAAATGCAGTACCTCAGACCCCACCCCAGAGCTACTGAATCAGAACTGGCATTTTAACAATACCCCAGGTAATTTGTATACATATTTAAAACACTGTTCTTAAACATATCCTTTACTCAAATGCAGCTCTCCAGCTAGCTTTGTTTCTGACTTTATTCTTGCTCTATTCATACCCAATTTACTTTAAACAAATTGTTAACTCCACTATTTTTCTGTTCCATTTTGCCCTAACCCCAACTCATTCAACTGACTCACTTATTTATCTGGAATTTTATTTTTCATATATGCTGACTGTCCCACTCTCTATTCCTACAGTTTCTCCAGCATTTTCAAATTTGAGCAGTTAATAAAACCTTTTAAGTTTCTTTTCTTCCAAGACATTCCAACACAAACCAAAAATACTTTATCCAAAGTAAAATTAACACATTGTGTACCGCATAGAAATCTCTAAGACATATGCCAGGGACCGCACGTTTTTGGGCAAACTGCACATTATTTAAATCATCATAATGCACTTTAGGTGTTGTTTTTCAATAATTATAACATTTTTATTTACAAAAACAATTAGAGTTCCTAGTACTTTTTTAACGTATGGTACTGCGTAAAACATTTTCCTCTATGAAGAGGGACCAAACAAAATTTACATAAGTATTTAGATTCGCTCCTTTTTCCATGGGCGTGAAAAACGAGAACACTCGTGAGTGGTCCTTAACAGATGGCGTGCGAAACACGAGAAAACTCCTGAGCAGTACGAAATCTGTTAAGAGTCCCAAATTTCTAGATTTTTTCCACTTTCTTTACCACTCTATTCCCACTCATTTCTAAGCCAAGTAGCTTATTCAGTCAGGTGCTCTTTAGGTTTAGCTTGTCATTCCCCAGTGTCATAATAGTAACAGAAAATACAATTGTAATAACAAAAAGCATGTTAGTGCACAAATCAAAGTTCACCTGTGCAAACACATTGATAGATAATATATTATGAATATTAATTACAAAATTATTTGGTAATACTGCTATTGAGCTTATAAAAGTAATATTACTCAAATATTTTTCTTTCTCACTAAATAATATAATTTCAAACAAGATAAAATAGTTTTAACCCTTGACAACTTTCACAAACTGTTTAAATAATTTAATTTAAAAATTACAGCCGAAACCGGTTTGGCTCAGTGGATAGAGCGTCGGCCTGTGGACTGAGGGGTCCCAGGTTCGATTCCGGTCAAGGGCATGTGCCTGGGTTGCGGGCACGTCCCTGGTGGGGGGTGTACAGGAGGCAGCTGATCGATGTTTCTCTCTCATCGATGTTTCTAACTCTCTATCTCTCTCCCTTCCTCTCTGTAAAAAAATCAATAAAATATATTAAAAAATAAAAATAAAAAAAATAAAAATTACAGTAAAATACTCAAGAAAAACACAAAGCAACAATAAGTACGCAGTACTGCAATACTATAATAGTTTAAAAATAGTTTAAAATTTTTTCTATATTCAGTGTTGATCCACACCTGCATATTAACTGCCAGCCAAGATGGCGGCAGGCAGCCAGGCAGCTTAAAGTGAACATGAGGCTTGCTTGCTTCAGTGACAGAGGACTCCAACGTTCCCTGCCTGCCGCTGCAGGCCTCTGAGCTGCAACTCTAAGCAACTATGTTACAAATATAGAAGCTAAACAAAACCCCAGAAACCTGCTTTAGTCCCTCGGGCTTCAGCCAGCAGGATCGCAACATTGTTTCAAATACAGAAGGTAAACAAAGGCCAGAAACCTGCTTTCAGCAGCGGAGGCCTAAGAGCTGGAGCCAAGCCTCAAAGCTAAAGCTGGCCCAGAACAAAAAAAAAGAAAAAAAAAAGCGGTTGGGAGCTTCAGTCACCTGCCAGCCTGAAAATAGCCCTCAGCCCCTCTCCCAGACTGACCAGGCACCCCAGTGGGGACCCTCACCCTGAAGGGTGTGTGACCAGCTTCAAACAGCCATCATCCCCTCATCCAGGCTGGCCAGGCACCCCAGTGGTGACCCCCACCCTGATCCAGGACACCCTTCAGGGCAAACCAGCCGGCCCCACCCATGCACCAGGCCTCTATCCTATATAGTGAAAGGGTAATATGCCTCCCAGCACCGGGATCAGCGGAGCCGAGAGGCCTCCCGGCACCGGGATCAGGGTGACGGGGGGCAGCGCCCAAACACCCTGATCTCCCTGCGGCTCTATGTGTGACAGGGGGTGGGGCCACAACCTCCCTATACACCCTGCTCTGTTTGTGACAGGGGGCAGCGCCCCAACCCCCTGCTCGGCCCTGCTCTGTGTGTGATGGGGTAGAGCCATAACCTCCCCATTGGCCCTGCCCTGAGTGTGACAGTGGCAGCGCCCCAACCCCCTGATCGGCTCTGCTCTGTGGGTGATAGAGGGTGGTGCCCCAACCCCCTGATCCGCCCTGCTCTGTGTGTGACAGGGGGCGGTGCCCCAACTCCCCTATCGGCCCTACTCTGTGAGTGACAGGGGGGAGCTCTTCAATCCGCTGATCGGCCCTGCTCTGTGCGTGACAGGGGGGAGCTCCCCAACCCCCTGATGGGCCCTGCTCTGTGCGTGACAGGGGGCAGCGCCCCAACCCCGATTGGCCCTGCTCTGTGCGTGACACGGTACAGAGCCCCAACCCCCTGATGGGCCCTGCTCTGTGCGTGACAGGGGGCAGCGCCCCAACCCCCTGATTGGCCCTGCTCTGTGCATGATAGGAGGTGGCGCCGCAACCTCCCCATCGACCCTGCCTTGAGTGTGACAGGGGACGGTGCCCCAACCCCCCAATCGACCCTACTCTGAGCGTGACTGAGGGTGGCATCGCAACCTCCCGATCGCCCTGCTCTGTGCATGACAGGGGGCGGCGCCCCAACTCCCCAATCAGTCCTGCTCTGAGCCCGACCAGGGGCTGCACCTAGGGATTGGGCCTGCCCTCTGCCACCTGGGAGTGGGCCTAAGCCAGGAGGTCATTATCTCCCGAGGTGTCCCAGACTGTGAGAGGGCACAGGCTGGGCTGAGGGACCCCCCCCCCCCCCGAGTGCACTAATTTTTGTGACCGGGCCTCTAGTCCTATATAATAAAAGCCTAATGTGCTAAGTGTCCGACCATTCAACCAGTCACTATGACACGCACTGACCACCAGGGGGCAGATGATCCAACCAGTAGATTAGCTTGCTGTTGGGTTCTGGCGGATCAGGACTGGGCGAGATGGGCCGAACACCCCTGGAGCCCTTCCACTGTCCTTCCCCGGCTGGCCAGCCCTGATTGGCTCCATTGGGACTGAGTGAGATGGGCTGGACACGCCCTGGAGCCCTCCCGTGGTCCCTCCCCGGACACAATTGTGCACTGGTGGGGTCCCTTGGCCTGACCTGCACCCTCTTGGGGGATGTTGAAGAGCCGGATTTGGCCCAATACCTGCAGGCCAGGCTGAGGGACCCCACCAGTGCACGAATCCGTGCACCGGGCCTCTAGGATACCCATAAAAGGTAGAGTACTGATTCCATAATCAGGCAATCTATGGAGGCAATTTGGGAAGAAACAGGCTTATTTTCATTTTATTGAAAAACATCGATTTGAGACAGTAGAGGGACTTGGGCCCAGGAATAAAAATAGTGGCCAGAAAGCTATGTTAAGACCAGGTGGCCAGAAAGATTAAAAAAAAAAAAAAAAAAGTAAAAAGTAAAAAGAAAAAAGAAGCAGAATTTTCTTTCTTCTAACTGCTTACTTTTCTTATCCTGACATGGAAAATTTCCACAAGCCCACCTTTTTAAAAAGTCTGTCTTTTCATGCAAACCCGCTTTGCCCCCAGCTTACAAAATCAGCCAAGCAGAGCCACTCCCCAATCGCCTTCATCCTCCCCACAGGCAGTTCAGAGGACCTTCCTTTCCTCTGTGCTGTCTCCTTTGTGCTCAAGCATATGCTTAATAAAATAGGTATGAAAATTACACTGTGGTTTTTCCTTCATTCTTGGGAACCCAAGAACCCAAATTCTGGTACAAATTAACTATAAAAAATTTAATGACAATTGTATTTAATTTGAATTCCAAAACAAACAAAAACCAAAATAGTTATGTTTAAAATTTACCTCACTTTCAAGAAAGAAAAGAACCAGCATCCTAATGAGATTCCCATTCGGACTGTTCCTTCCCCTCCTTTTTGCTAACGCTTCTTCTGCTTGTGGGTCATGTCTGCTAAACAGCCTGGTAATAAGTAACAAAACAAGAACATCACAAATTTATATAGATATAAATTTTAATCTTTTCCTTCACTGTACAAAAATTATTTTGGTGTGAATAAAAAAATGCATATATATCAGAGATCAGGTTACTGATTTATTTCAACACAAGTATATAATTGATATTTTTATAGATAAAAAAGAGGTTAGACCTGAACAGTTCATACAGTTCAACCATATATGAAGTGTAAAAGGAAGCTTTTTTACTGATGACTAATTAATGTTCAAATACTTATAAAAAATAGAAACTATTTTTTTCTTATATGAAAGATATATAGAGTATATAATTTTAAAGTTCTACTTCCTTAAATATTGATTTCAAAGTCAAGTAATTACAGCATTTAACCAAATGTTCCATCAATAATTTAAAAATGAATACTTTTAGTCATTACTTCTTGCATTCTTTTGTACTTATTAGCCTATTACCTAAAAACAGTACTCAACTAGCTCAATAGTATTGAGTAAAATGACATAAACATTAAATTTATAAATATACCACTTAGCAACAAAACTTCTAAAATATGACAAAGAAATGACCCCAAAATTTTTATTTGCTAATAAGTTTTATTCTAACAAAATTTAAAGACTGCCAAAGGTGCCTTAATCCCAGGTATGGCTCCAGGTAAAAGGGATATAACAGTGAACAAAGACAAAACAGCTGCTTTCATTGAGCTCTCGCTCTGGTGGATAAAGATAAACAGATAAATATATAGTTTTCTCAGTTGTTATAAGGAAAAATGAGGAACTAGGGAAGGGGATATGGAGTGTCCTAATTTAGATATGGACATCGCAATGGGCCTATTAGAGGACAGGCTAAATAACTGAAGGAAGAATAATTTCAGGGGAGCAAGAGTAAGCAGCAGCTTGTCTGGGTCTAACCCCCTGAACCTGTCTTCAAGGCCCCCTTGTTTCTGACTCCCAGTGAGCTAAAGCAGCCTCACCTAGCTCTCCTGTTGCTTCTTCCATCTAAACCCTTCCTTGTTTCAACAGTTCCAGCTTAAATAAACATACTCTCTCAAAGAAAAAAAATTTCATGTGTCATAAAAATAAATCAATCTCAAGTAGAAAATTAGTACAGAGAAGTTGAATATTTGGATAGGGGCGGAGATAGTTTATGGCAGGGGGAGAAGACTAGAGTATTATCTTGAAGTATATTGGCATAGCTATCATACTGGTTTAAAAGAAAGTTTTCCTTATTTCCTTTCAGAGGGGAACAAATGTACAAATTTGGATAATTGCATTTACTGTATATAAATATGAGGTACTAAGAAATTAGCTAATATTTAAAACATTAAAATGTAGAATTTTTGATGACATTAAGATATTCATTTCACATACATTTTACTTTTTTTTTTGGATACTTGGTTAAGCTCATAAAATAGACTACAAACAACCATGAGTGTATGCGCATGCATGCATTTTTAAAAAAACGTAATCATGGCCCTGGCCAGATGGCTCAGTTGGTTGGAGTGTTCTGTACACCAAAAGGTTGTGGGTTCGATTCTCGGTCAGGGCACATGCCTAGGCAATCGATGGATACTTTTCTCTCCCTCTAAACCCCCCCCTCTAAAAAAAAACCCCAAACAATCAATCAATATATCCTCTGGAAGCCAAGAGACATATGAAAACATGCTCAAAGTCACTAATCATCCGAGAGATGCAAATCAAAACAACAATGAGGTACCATCTCACACCTGTCAGACTGGCTATCATCAACAAATCAACAAACGACAAGTGCTGGAGAGGATGTGGAGAAAAAGGAACACTTGTGCACTGCTGGTGGGAATGCAGACTGGTGCAGCCACTATGGAAGACAGTATGGAGTTTCCTCAAAAAGTTAAAAATGGAACTCCCATTTGACCCAGTGATCCCACTTCTAGGAATATATCCCAAGAAACCAGAAACACCAATCAGAAAGGATATATGCATCCCTATGTTCATAGCAGCACAATTTACCATAGCTAAGATTTGGAAACAGCCTAAGTGTCCATCAGCAGATGAGTGGATTAGAAAACTGTGGTACCTCTACACAATGGAATACTATGCTGCTGTAAAAAAGAAGGAATTCTTACCATTTGTGACAACATGGATGGAACTGGAGAGCATTATGCTAAGTGAAATAAGCCAGTCAATGAAAGAAAAATACCACATGATCTCACTCATTTATGGATAATAAAGACCATTATAAACTGATGAACAAAAATAGATACAGAGGCAGAGCAGCATCGAACAGACTGTCAAACTAAAGCGGGAAGGCCGGGGAGGGTTGGGGGCGCGGGGGGGTAAGAGATCAACCGAAGGACTTATATGCATGTATATAAGCATAACCAATGGACACAAGACACTGGGGAGTAGGGGAGGCTGGGGGAATGTCAAGGGGGGTGGGGTGGGAAGGAGACATATGTAATACTCTTTGTAATACTTTAAGCATTAAAACAAAATTTTAAAATATATATATATATGTATGTGTGTGTGTGTGTGTGTGTGTGTGTGTGTGTGTATATATATATATATATATATATATATATATATATATCTCCATCCATCTTCTGGTGAGGATTAAAAAAACAAACAAAAAACTTAATAATGTAATTCCTGAGGCTACTCTATAAGAGTTTAAAGATCACAATACTGAATCATGGAAGAATGCTCAAAAAGATCAATAAGAATCAGAAGTTCTCAAACAAGTTTATGAGAAGCTTTTAGCTGAATAGGAACTGGATTCATTTTCACAAATAACAAATATAAGGGAGCTTACATGTGGATTTCTATGTAAAATATTCCAATTTAAAAAATTTTAGCAAGTATTTCAAATTTAGGAAAATGCAATACAGATTAAAGGCTCGTTCTGGCTCAACTGCTACCAGTTTATAGTCTCTATTATGTAGAGAAATAACCTTTTTAGTTTATTTTTTCTTTGAAATTAGAGCAATAAAGTCTTTCTAAAAACATAAAGCCTTTTGAAAGTTAAGTAGAAAACAGAAGCTAACTAGAATATAATAGTCCTGGAAAAGGAAGAGAAGTAAAAACTACAAAATACCCTTAATATTTATGACAAACAACACCTCAAGATAAATATGAAAACAGCACTATTCTATTAGCCATAGATCAGAGTCACTGGCAAATTTAATATATTAATGTAAAAGTCATGCTTGAAACTCTTGCCTTTACTCTTTAATTACCAGCACACACTAGTACCCAGCTTCTTTTTTTTTTTTTTTTTAAATATATTTTATTGAGTTTTTACAGAGAGGAAAGGAGAGAGATAGAGAGTTAGAAACATCGATGAGAGAGAAACATCGACCAGCTGCCTCCTGCACACTCCCCACCGGGGATGTGCCCGCAACCAAGGTACATGCCCTTGACCGGAATCGAACCTGGGACCTTTCAGTCCGCAGGCCGACGCTCTATCCACTGAGCCAAACCGGTTTCGGCCCCAGCTTCTTTCTTACAGAAATTTTTTTTCACATAGACACAACTTTGAGAGGTATTACTGAATAGAGAATAGTTTGCTATTGCAGCACTGAGATCCAAATTCTGGATGGAAGCCTGCTCATTATCAAAGTTAATCATCCATGTACAACAGTTGCTCAGTGCAAGATTTATATCTATGCTTAGCATAGTCACAAATTACTATGTGTATTGGACTTTTGGGTTCATCAGTCACAAAGTTAAATCTATGAATTAAAAAACAAAAATAAGGAAACTCATGTAGAAATGTTTATATTTCACGAACAGATTAATCAACTAATAAATTATATAGATTAAAATATAGTAGATATATGTATAGTAGATAGACCACAATAAAAAATGTATTTCAGAAGACTAATTATAATCATAAACTCTCATTAGCTTTATGTTTTGTCAAAAAATAGATGAGGTTTTACTTTTTTTAAAAAAATATATTTTATTGATTTTTTACAGAGAGGAAGGGAGAGATATAGAGAGTTAGAAACATCGATGAGAGAGAAACATCGATCAGCCGTCTCCTGCACACCCCTCACTGGGGATGTGCCCGCAACCAAGATACATGCCCTTGACTGGAATCGAACCTGGGACCCTTCAGTCCGCAGGCGGACGCTCTATCCACTGAGCCAAACCGGCTACGGCAAGGTTTTACTTTTTAATTAAACTGCAATTGTACATATAATTTTCAGCATCACTAAGGATTTTCAATTAAAATAATCCTCATCCCAACAGAAAGAAAAGACATGAAATACTGAGCATTTTAAACGTTATTTTATTTATTAATTTTTTAGAGACAGAGGAAGGAGTGAGGAAGCCAGGGAGGGAGACAGAGAAATATTGATTTGTTGTTGTTCCATTTATTTATGCACTTATTGGCTTATTCTTGTCTGTGGCCTGACCAGAGATCAAACCTGCAACCTTGGCATACTGGATGATGCTCTAATCAACTGAGCTACCTGGCCAGGGCCTTGAAAGTGAATTTAGATACAAATGTTGAGAAGGTAAGATGAGAATTCAGAATTTTAAATGAAAAAAACAAAACAAAAAACAACAACACATAAAAACAAAACACTGATGAAATGAAATATTAATTTCTGAGGGAGCTTTTACAAATTTCATACACTTCTTCAATTTTCATTCACACATTAAAGGGGAACCATCCTTTTAAATTTCACAGAAAAGAGATGTCACAAAGAACATTGTTCCCAAGGATGTGATTCATGATGTGCACAAAGGCTGTGAGGATATTACACTCCCTAAAATCTGAAATGACCAATTCTAGCACTGTTTTCAGTCACTGCTATTCTCTTCTACGAACTCTAAAACTATAAAGAAACAAAATATAAAAGAAGAACCTGGTTTCAAAGGTAAGTAACTCACTTTTTGTGAAGGAATTCTCCAGCTGCAACAGCAACAGGGCGATGTGCTGAGTACACCAAGTGGTAAACATTTTCACAATCTTCATTAGAAAGAGCTTCTTCACTTCCACTGAAAAATTCAAAGTGACATGTGAGTCAAAACAAATGCTTATTTTTAGTTCTAACTTTAAGTTTTGTAAAGTTCATTATAAAAGCTCAAGGCATATGGATCTTATTTTCATCTTTTTAATCTTACTTTGAAAATAATATTTCTCATTTCATTACATAAAATTCTGAAAATACAAATAAAACAAGAAAATAAATTGTCCACAATTCTTCCTGCACATAACCATAGACAATGACTATTAATATCTTAGAATATATATTCGCTGAAATTAGCAAGTTCTTTAAATGTGCATGAGATTTTTGTTGGTAAGCACTGGAAAGATATTTATCCGTTTCATAGAGTGAAATTATTATTATGCTATGTAACTTTTCTCTCCATAAATGCCTATTTTAAATTATATATATATACACACACACACACACACACACACACACACACACTAGTGGCCCTGTGCACAAAATTCGTGCATGAGGGGAAGGGGAGGGGGCAGGGAGGGGTATCCCTCAGCCCGGCCTGCACCCTTTCCAATCCCCCTCAGGGGATTGTCCGACTGCAGGTTTAGGCCACATCCCTGCAGGATCGAGCCTAAACCGGCAGTCGGACATCCCTCTCACAGTCCGGGGCTGCTGGCTCCTAACAGCTCACCTGCCTGATTGCCCCTAACCCACTCTGCTTGCTGGCCTGTTTGCCTCCAACTGCCCCCCCTTCTGGCCTGAGCACCTCTAACTGCCCCCACCCTTCTGGCCTGATAGTTCCCAAATGCCGCCCCTGCTGGCCTGCTCGCCCCCAACTGTCCCTCCCCTGCCGACCTGCTTGCACCCAACTGCCCCCCCCCCCAGCCTGCTCGCCCCCAACTATCCCTCCCCTGCCAACCTGATTGCCTCCAACTGCCCCCCCTGCTGGCCTGATCGCCCCTAACCGCCTCTGCCTCGGCCCCGCGACCATGGCTTTGTTTGGAGGGTCTCCCGGTCTAATTAGCATGTTACCCTTTTATTAGTATAGACTAGAGGCCTGATGCATGAAATTCATGCAAGTGGCTTGGCCCTTGCAGCCGCAGTGGCTTGCCTCAGCCCTCGCAGCCCCAGCTTCGTCTGGAAGGTCATCTGGCCTAATTAGCATATTACACTTTTATTAATATAGATTTTTTCTTTTTTTATTAATCCTCACCTGAGGATATTTTTTCATTGATTTTAGAGAGAGTGGAAGAGAGAGAAAAAGACAAAGAGAAACATTGATGTGAGAGAAACACATTAAGTAGTTGCCTCCTGCATGTGCCCTGATCAGGGCCTAGGCTGGGGAGGAGCCTGCAACAGAGGTATGTGACCTTGATCAGAATTGAACCCGGGACCCTTCGGTCCACAGGCTGATGCTCTATCCACTGAGTCAAACAGGCTAGGACTAAATTTTATTTTATCACCATATTTACAACACTATTTAGTGTTCTTTTTAAATAAAATTAATCTAATGGTCACAACCAATCCTTTACTAACACTAATTCCTACCTTTCCAATCATGTATTCTTAAAGTATGAGCCATTTCTTAGTTTGCTGAATGTGTCCTTAAGTATTTCCCACCCCAAAAAAGAAAATATACTATAAAAAATACACACCAGAAATCAACTATTTCTTGATTATAAACATGCTTAAATATGTCTGCTGTCAGTGTAGATTCACAACCACTAGGTGGACTATAGAATTCTTGAGCTGTACAGGTTTTTGATAACATGTAGGAGTGTAAGCTCATTACCCAGAATTCAATCCTGGAGATGCCTCAGAAGCTCGGAGGAAGTTAAGGTATCTGTCAAATACACATAAAATTACAGTGACCTTTGCCAATGCCCAACTTATACCTCTAAATTATAAGGTTGGGCACAAGGTAAGGCCTAAGTTGTCTAATTTTTTGTTTGCTTTTTTAAAATATATTTTTTATTGATTCTAGAGATAGGGAGAGGGAGATGAAAACACTGATGGGCTGCCCCACCAGGTATTGAACCCTCAACCTGGGCATGTGTCCTGACTGGGAATCAAACCTGCCACCTCTTGGTTCCTGGGATGACTTTCAATCAACTGAACCACACCGCCGGGCACTATGGCCTAAGTTTTAACCCCTTAACCCAATTATGTATCATCAGCTATTAGCTAATACCCTCAGGAGAAAGTTAAACTCATAGAAATAAAAATTTAATATGACATTTCAGGAACCTAGGCTCATATATGAGAGGAAAATAAATATATACTAAAAGAAGTAGAAATAGCAAAAAGAAAAAGAATTTAGAGAAGATATAATAGTATGTTAAATTTGACTTTACCTGTTGTTTTTGGAAGAAGATATACCATAAGCCAAAAAAATTAATGCTAGATTATTTCATGCAAATGCTGTAATAGATGGGAAAGCTGATTTTGTGATCCTTAGCTCATTACTTACCAAAATACTATATAAATAGAAATTAGAGGATTAAGCATTATAATGGGTAGAGAGGATTTCTTTCAGGAGAAAGATGCCAGAAACCTTCTTCCCAAGTCAAACTGGAAAATGTTCCCTATGAAACATTTATAAACATTCCTTAGAATTGTGAGAAAGTTTAATAAATGATACTTTGTGAAGAAAAGGCCTAAATGTGAAAAGTTGACTGAGCAACTTATCGTAGCAGATTGAGAGGGTTACAAGGACAGAGTTGTACTTTATCAATAAACAGTCCATGTTTCTTGTAGGTTAGATATGGAATACTTAAAGAAAGCCAGCCTGAATAGTTTTTAAGAACTTTGCCCAAGAAGACTACTTATAGGGCAAGCAACTCGAACAGAGGAACCCTGAAAGTCAGGGGCTTAGTTATGAAAGTGAATAAGCCAGTGGAGGCATTGACCTCTCTGGAAAACTGCAGTTGTAAATACCCAGAGTGGGGAGGTTACTCTGAGGAATCCACATAGCTGAAGAGCCATAACTGTACCTTTTAAATAACACATGTTCAGCCCTTACCTCCCCCAATGAAAATGCAGAAAATTACCTTAAAAAGGGACTTGAAATTAGTGAAAACATTTTCTAAATTCAGGAAGAAAGTAGGATTTTTGGGGGGCTAAACAAGGTCTCAGATGGTTTGATAACACTCTTAAAGAAAATAAACTAGTAGGAAAAGATAATCTTGGAGGTGTCTATGAGATAATTACTCTTCCCTGGAAATAAGGAAAGAAGAAATATCAAAGGAACATTTATTCCTGTCTAAATGAGCAAGTACTGAAAATAAATAAGTAAAAAAAAAAAAAAAAAGTACATCCTTAACATAGGTCTTAAACTCTAGACCAGAGATTTACAACTAGTGTGCAGCAAGAATTTTTAAAGCATGCAATACCTGACTATTTAGTCAAGGGCAATGACTTCTTTTTCCTTAGATTGTCAAATAAAAATGACAACAGCCAATACAACAATAGCCATCTGGTGTGAATGAATCAAAATTATAACCATTTTTGTCAGATTGGCAATAAATATATTTTTTTTGGTGTGCCACAGAATCTTAGTAACTAGTTTATGTATGCCATGAGATGAAAAAGGTTAAAAATCGCTGCTCTAGATAATTCCAATGAAATAGGTGGGTGGAATGTCAGGGTACTTTCTTGTTCAAGGGAAAGATATTGATAAGCTTATAAAATTTATAAGGAAAATTTAACTAGGGGGGCCTAATATTTTAAAGTATTTAAATTTGAAAAGGGAAAAATTCTTCATAAATGAAAAAAACTGTATGTAAGGATAAAATGAAGACTACCAGAAGGTGCAAAAATAATGATCATATAGGTTCCAATCTATATACTAAGAAGTATACCAAGCAACAACTTATGAGATAACAACAGTTATGGGAGACGTAACACATCCCTCTTAAAAACCGGACAAAATATAAGCAAAGGGCCGTGGCCAGATGGCTAGGTTAGTTGGAGCATTGTCCTGTACACCAAAATGTTGCAGGTTCAATTCCTGGTGGGGGTGCATGCCTAGGTTGTGGGTTTGATCCCCAATCAGGGAGGAGGCAACAGATTGATGTTTCTCCCTCCCTCCCTTCTTCTCTCTCTAAAAATCAATAAAGAAACATATCCTTGGGTAAGGCTTAAAAAAATAAAAATAAAAAATGGGCAGCTCGGCCAGTGTGGCTCACAAGTTGAGAGTCGACCCTGGACCAAGAGGTTACCAGTTCGATTTCTGGTCAGGGTACCTTCCCAGGTTGTAGGATCAAACCCCAGGAGTGAGCGTGCAGGAGGCAGGCGATCAATGATGTTTCTCTCTCATTGATGTTTCTATCAATTCCTCTCCCTCTGAAAACCAATAAAAACATTAAAAAACCCCAAAACAAAACCTAAAGGTATAGATAATTTGAATGACACAGTAAATAAATTCAAAATAATGAATTTATAAATACATAACTATATATATTAGTACAGCATACATGATGGGGCAAAAGTAGGTTTACAGTGTTCATGTAAAAAATAATAATTAATAAACAATAACACAAGAGTAAACTCTGTTTTGTGTACTCACAATTGCAAACCTACTTCTTGTCCCACCCTGTAGATATATGTTGTTAGAAAACTGGCCAAACCACTCAGAACACATTCTCAGATAATGCAATAAAACAGAAAGGACAGCTCTAAAAAATTGATATATTTGGGGAGAACAAAAACACAATAGTGAATAATCTATGATTATAAAGGTAATACAAATATTTATCATTAAATGTCTATGAAAATACTGTACTAGTATGTCCAACTTCTTAGCAGACCAGTAAAGTAATACTGAAATATATGTTTAAATATGATTATTAGAAAACAAGAAACAAATGAGCCAAAAGAAGCAAGTTTTTTTTAAAACAGTAGTAAGATGGACAAACGTCTATCAGGACTAATCAAGAAAAAGAGGACAGAAATAAAACAAATTAAAAAGTGCAATTAACAAAAGAAATAGCAAAGTTTTATGAATATCATAAACTATAAAATAATAAATCTGAAAGCAGTGATGAAATTGATATTTTTTAAAGTTTACAAAAAGCAAAAATTAGCACAAGAAATAAAATTTATATAACCACTGAATAAGTAGAAATGATAATTAAAGACCTTTTCCTCAAAAGTAATCGAAAACTGAAATGTCTTTAACAGGAGAATTCTTTCAAAGTTTCAAGAAAAAAGTAATCTCTGTCAGTGAAAATTTGTTTCAGGACAGAAAAATGGCAAGAAACTATTGAATATATTTTACAGATAATTCTCTTGATTCTGAAGCTGGATAAAAGACAAGAAAAAAATTATGTCAAATTTACACATGAAAACAAATGTGAAAATCCTAAATAAGACATTAAATATAACGTGTATTTTAGTAAAATACAATAAAATCAAATATATTTAATTCAAACAGGATTTAATCTAGAAATGCAATGGTGGTTTACCATTGGACAAATCTGCTGTCAATTAGATTCAGGCTCATCAATGTATGAAAGGAAAATCTCACAAAACAGAACACAAAAGAACTTTTATCATATATCAAAAACATATCTCAGAAATCACAGAAACAAAGAACTTTAGATGCCATCTAAAGAACAAAAAGAATATAAAACACCCCACAACCTGGGCATGTGCTGAAAGTCCTGGCTAATGCAATTAGACAAGAGAATAAAACAAATGTTTTAAGGTTAAAAAAGGAAAAGACAAAACTAAAATTGTTTGCAGACGACAGAATAATCTATATAGTAAACCCAACAGAATTAACAAACCATCACAATGCATAGAGTTCTAGTAAGTTGCGTATATAATAACAACATAAAAATTAAAGATTTCTGTTCCTCAGCAAAAACTAAGCAGAAAATATTTTTAACACTAAATATGAATCACATGACAACAAAACCATAAAGTGCTTAAAATTAACCTAATAAATAATGTACAATATCTTTATGAAAAAATTTAAAACTTATGTAAAAGACCAAATAAGATTTGAATAAAAAATTGCACCAGCCCAGGCCCATGTGGAGAGAGATCCCGTATTTGATTCCCACTCCAGGTATAAAATTAAGTTTGCAGTTCCATCCCCAGTCCCTGGTCCCCAGTGGGAATGCATATGGGAGGCAACTGATTACTGTTTCACTCTCACATCGATGTGTTTCTCTCTCCCTTCCTCCTCCCTTCCTCTCTGTCCAAAATCAATAATAATAATTTCTAAAAAAGCATGTCTTGCCCTTGCCAGGTAGCTAAGTTGTTTAGAGCATTGTCCTCATAACACCAAGGTTGTGGGTTCAATCCCTGGTTAGGGCACATATGGAAACAATTAATACCTGCATAAATAAGTGGAACAACAAATCAATGTTTCCCTCTCTCTCAAACACAAACACACACACACACACACACACACACACACACACACACACACACAATTAACAACAACAACAAATTAAATGGAGTTCAGATATTTAAAATCCCAGCCAGTTTTTGAGGAACTAAACAACTATACTTTAAAAATTCATATAGAAGGGGAAAAAAAGTCCACAAATAGCTAAGTAGATTTTTAAAAGAAAGGTAAAGAAGGAATCACCCAATAAGAAGAGGCCATATTTGTAACACATATGTATTATAAAGCTACCATTTTGCAGAGTATGATACTAGATTAGAAAGAGAAAAAAATACATGAAAACAATAATAGACCCTATCATAGTTGGTATTGGGACATGACAGATGTGGCATCACAAGGTAGGAGATGATTTTTAATGACTTTACTAGGATCTACATTCTCTCACATTAATTTTTCATAATTTTTAGTCAAAGCTCGGTAAATAAAATTATTAAAACTCTAGCATAGTAATGATGTAATTTAAATGCCTTATTACCTTTCTCCTACTTCTATACTATTCCAAAGAAGCCTATTTGAAAATCCTATCTCTTTTGAGGCCTTCTTTCTTTTTTTAAAAGAGAAAGTTCTGTTTCTTCATTGATATTTCCCCTGGACTAGTTTCTTCATGGATATATCCTACATAAAAGAACTTTAATATGAAGGAAACAGAAATAGTCAAAATAAAAAACGAAGAGAGAAAAACAGAAAACATGTTGTTTCAAGCCTAACCTTAAAATGTAAAAGTAGAACCTATAGTGATAAGTACAGGGTAGGGCAAAAGTAGGTTTACAGTTGTGAGTACAAGAAACACAGTGCTTACTTTTATATTATTAAACCTACTTTTGCCCCACCCTGTATATTAGGGTTATATTAGTATATGTAAAGTATATCAATAATGCTGGGGAAAAGGACATTACAATATTAATAAGATTTTAACTACACTTACTGAAGTATCAGAGTAACCAATCGAATAGCTTCCACAGCAACATCATATTCCTTATCAAGTGTCATTGATACAATGCGATCCTGAAAATAAATTACAAATCAAATCATCCATGAGCAGAAAACAAGTTGGGACAGACCTAAGGAAATATGTGGGAGAATATATGCAAGACTAAAGATAAATTAAAAGGAAAACTTTAATCTTGAAACAGTATTATCATAGTCCTACTCACAGAAAGGAGGAATGTATTAGGAGAAATGTTCATAATCTAAAATCTTTCTCATTGACTGGCATTCCCTAACACTGAGACAAATAAACGTTAACTTGCAAAATTAATGTCCTAATATATAAAAAGGCAGGGGCCATCACGACTGAAAACAACCAGGTGGACAACTGAACAGCAGGCTGCATGGGGTGACCAGGCCAGCAGGGGGGTTAGTGAGGGATGACCAAACGACTGAACAGCAGGCTGCGTGGGGCGACCAGGTAGGCAGGGGGTTTAGTGAGGGATGACCAAACGACTGAACAGTAGGCTGCATGGGGCGACCAGGTCGGCAGGGGAGCAGTTAGGGGCAATCAGGCCAGCAGGCAGAGGCAGTTAGGGGTGATCAGGCTGGCAGGGGGGCCAGTTAGGGGCAATCAGGCAGGCAGGCAGGTGAGCAGTTAGGAGCCAGCAGTCCTGGATTGTGAGAGGGATGTCTGACAGCCGGTTTAGACCTGATCTCTGAAATCGGGCATAAACTGGCAGTCGGACATCCCCTGAGGGGTCCCAGATTGGAGAGGGTGCAGGCCAGGCTAAGGGACTCCCCCCTTCCCCTGTGCACAAATTTCGTGCATGGGGCCTCTAGTAATTATATAAAGCTGTAATAAAGAAAATCTTGTTTTAAGCAGGAGTCTTTTATCGGCGGCAATAAATAAGAATTCATATTGGTAATATACTTTGTACAGCAAATATTCACTCATCTACTTAATTCAGATTTATTTAAAGAATATGCAGTAAAGAATATCAACTAAATACTTTTTATGGTAATGTAATTTGCTAAACTAGCTATAAATAGCATTTTTAAAGTGAAAAATAAATTAAGTCTAAGCATTCTTGACGCTTACCTTGAATCGGTTTGTGAATAGCTCCAATTTGGGGAATAATTCTCTGTTGGTATACAGACTCTGTAGAGCTTTCAAACACTTTAGCCTGACTTCTCCTTGCTATAGAAATACAAATAAAACACAACAGAAGCCATCAATGAAGCCAAAAGAATTGAAAAGATTTTCTAGTCTTTATGAAGACTGAAGTAATTTTTAGCTTAACCATTCAATTTACTTCGTATTGTAAAACATAGGGTGGAACTGAACAATTGTATAGCCTGTGTTTCATTTATATTTAATAAAAAATGCAATGAAAACCCCTTAGTTACTTGAGAGTAACTTTCAAACATTTACCCTTTTCAAACATTTACCAACTCTGATTCAACATGGAATGTTTCCCACCTTATACTGTGGCACTCTGAGAGAATTTTTAACCTTGGATTTCAATTAGAGAAGGGCACCCTAATTTGTCCTTCATGTAAGTACTGAATAATCCTATAGGAAAAACCTAATTTCATATTTAAGGGTCATCATTTATTAATTTAACAAATATTTATGGAATACCTTTTATATTCCAGAAAGAGCAGTTAATAAACAGATAAACAGCAGAATGTTTAAAACAGGCAAAATAAAAGAATGAAGTGTTCTGGAGCTGCCATTTACTACTACATTATCTATAACTATAGGCTCGGTGCACAAATTCATGCATGGGTGGGGTCCAGCCAGCCCCAATGGGGCTGGCGGGGGGAGGGGCTGCAGAAGGTTGGCCGGCCGGCCCCGCTCCCGTTTGGGGTGTTGGGGGCCGATTGGGGCCCAGATCAGGCTGGTTGGCCACCACAATGTGCGTCATAGCCACCAGTCTATCCGCCGTTCTGGTTGTTGGGCTTTTATATATATATAAAGTTATTAACTTGGAGTAGATATTGGTGATCAAAGTGTGTTTAGAATAATTTAAAAATTTATCTAACTCTTTCAAAGGATTCAAAGAAGACGTAAGTTTCAGTTTTTCAAAAAGGAAGCAATGTACTGTAACAGTGGGTATCCAAGTTTTGGAATCAGACAAAACTAGATTTTGTTTCCAATTCTATAGCTTATAAGCTATATGAGAGATAGCAAATATATTAATCACTCTAATAGTTTTCTCATTTATGAAATGGTGATGCCAACTCTGTAAGGCTGTTATAAGGATTAAATGCTGTGGTAGCCCTGGCCAGTGTCGCTTAGTGGTTAGAGTGTAGCCTGCATACTGAAGGGTTGCTGGTTGACTCCTGGTGAGGGCACATGCTCAGATTGTGGACTCAATTCCTGGTGGGTGGTGTGCAGGAGGCAGCTAATTGATGTTCCCCTCTCACATCGATATATCTGTCTTTCCCCTCCTCTCCCTCTCAAAAAAAAATCAATTAAAAAAATATAAAAAGAATACCTGGGTGGATGCAGCTGAGAACCTTGAACTCCATGGTTCCCAGGAATTTGTGGGCCTGAAATTAAGGCTCATATTATCTCTTGTTAGAGGATAGTATGCCCCCTACCCCAGGCTATACGGAAGCCTCAAGTGAAGTAAGTGCCGTTAAGGACAATTCTTGTAGCTCTCCTCATGGTCTACAGCAACCTCCCCTTGCGGCCACCAGGCTAAGGTCAAATCTCAGCATGGCCCAAGTGGAAAGTAATATGTATACGAAGGGTGGAGGATTATCTACAATAATAAAAGTGTAATATGCAAATCGACCAAACGGCTGAACAGCAGAAAGACTATCTGGACGAAGCCAGGGTTACGAGGGAACAGCAGGGGCAGCTGTAAGGGCCGAGGCAGCCAGGGCTGCGAGGGCCTACCCTTGCACGAATTTCATGCATCGGGCCTCCAGTATGCTATAAGTGCTAAAGGAATGGGCCAATTTGAACCAGAAAGAACTAGGAGAATATGGTAGAGAGTAGTTGCTGAGGGTACTGGACCTGGGAGTGGGAATAAAAAACAGGAAAGTTTTTGGATCTGGGACACTCTCCTGTGACTCTGGATTTAAGGCCCTGCTAAGGGTCCCTGGAAATAGCCCAACATATTGCTGGATGGCTCTTGGAAAACGTAATGGTGTAGAGTAAATGAAATAGATGCTAGAATTGTGTGCCAGACTGTGAAAAAAGGAATTCAAAGACACAGGGAAGTAAGCATGCCAGAAAGGACCTATTATATAAGCTCAGAAGACATACCAGTGGAGTATGTTTCTCAGGAGGGCCTAGAGAATACTTTGTTTACCAAGGCAAAAAGGACAAGGCTTGTGATAGAGGCACAGACATTACTGAGAAGCTCCACAGTGGTTATATTTGATAGGCTAGGGTTGACAATAGATTTTCAAACAGAATTTAGCTTCCAAGAGCCAAGAGATGGTAAAATCACAGAACAGCAGAGAACTATTAGATGCAAGGGGGCATAATTCAGGGATGGGCAAAAGTAGATTTATAGTTACAATACAAATAAATAATACAGCCAAAATATGGTATATTGTTCAACACAAGTATGGTGGGGAAGAGGACATTATTCTGTTAATTCAAGACAATGCAAGCAGTGGTGCTGATAACCACTCTATCAAAATTTAACAGTCTGTCTTCCCACTCAGAAAGGCCTCCAGAGCTTGGAGGTTGACAGATTACCACAGGTTAGACATGAAAGTTCCAGCAGTCCTTGATATTATCACTGTCACTAAAACAGTGGCAGCCCAAATGGAAAGTAGTACACTGTTACTGATCTGGCTAATCCCTTTTACTCGATCCCATCCTATATAATAAAAGCCTAATATGCTAAGTGTCCAGTCATCCAGTTGTCCATTCAACCCATCAAAGTGTAATATGCTAATGATATGCTAAGGCCGCTCAACCGCTCACTATGATGTGCAATGACCACCAGGGGGCAGACAGTCAATTGGTCGACCAGTTGCTATGACGTGCACTGACCACCAGGGGGAAGACGCTCTGACGGATAGGTTAGCTTGCTGTTGGGATCTGCCCGATCGGGACTGAGAGAGACAGGCTGGACACGCCCTGGAGTCCCCCGCGGTCCCTCCCTGGCTGGCCAACTTCCGCATCCCTCCCCGACCCTGATCGTGCACCGGTGGGGTCCTTCGGCCTGGCCTGTGCCCTTTTGCAATCCAGGACCCCTCAGGGGATGTTGGAGAGCCGGTTTCGGCCCGATCCCGCAGGACAGGCCAAGGGACCCCACTGGTGCACGAATTCATCCACTGGGCCTCTAGATGGAGGATAAAGATCAGGAACAATTTGCATTCACACAGACGGGCCTACAACATATTTTTACTACTAGAGGCCTGGTGCATGAATCTGTGCACTGGTGGGGGGGGTCTGGCTGGCCCACCCCAATGGGGGCCCATTGGGCGGGGCCAGTGGGGGGGGAGGGGCTGCAGGTGATTGGTTGGCTGGCTCTGCCCCCGATCAGGATGTTGGAGGCCGGCTGGGGAGAGGGGCCACAGGTGGTTGGTCAGCTGGCCTCACCCCTGATTGGGGGCAGGTTGGTTGGCTGCTGCATTGTGCGTCATAGCCACTGGTTGTTCTGGTCATTCTGCCATTCTGGTCGCTGGGCTTTTATATATATACTAGAGGCCCGGTGCACAAAAATTTGTGCACTCGGGGGGTAGGGGGATCCCTCAGCCTGGCCTGTGCCCTCTCACAGTCTGGGACCCCTCGGGAGATAATGACCTGCTGGCTTGGCCTGCTCCCAGGTGGCAGAGGGCAGGCCCAATCCCTAGGTGCAGGCCCTGGTCGGGCTCAGAGCAGGGCCGATTGGGGAGTTGGTGCGCCGCCCCCTGTCATGCAATGAGGGCCTTTGCAGCAGCAGGGCTTGGAAGCTGTTCAACAAACTGGTCCAAGCACAGCATTTGGGACCTGTTCCTCTGATGTAACTGCAGGTTTCCATTCACCCCCCCACCCCCTTGCCCCGCCAAACACTTAGAATCTGTGGCAGCAGGAAACTGCCACTGGGGTGCACTGGCTTCTTGGATTTTGGACCCACAAACTTCTATAAGCTGCTACCCAGTACAATTCTTTTGAATGACATTTCCTTGCTTGCTACTGGGCACTGGTGGAGATGGAGCATTTTATGGATGGAGTACCACATATGATACTATAATCTGTACTGCCCATTCTCACGTGGGTGATTAGGAAGTCTACCAATAAAACTAGAAAGACTCAACAGGGCTTGATCATAAAAGGGAAACATAACATCTAAGACTGGGCCAGCCAGAATCCCAAGGGATCAGCTGGTTCCATAAGGAAAAAGCCACTGACTAGAAAGGCCCAAAGAATCCATAGGAAATACTTTGACTTTTCCTGAGGCTACCTGGGGCCCAGGAGTCAAACACATGTCTGCTGAAAATATGGCATGGTTTACTGACAGCTCTGTGAAACTAAAGGCAGATGGGGTCTAATGAATGGCAGCCGTCATCGGGCCTTGGGTGACCATCTTTTGACTGTAACCAGATGTGGACATTTCAACCAATGGGCCAAACTCCAAAATGTGGTGATGGTGGTGCAGGCCACCCCTACCAACATGCCTTGATACATTTTCACCAACTCATGGCTGTTGCCAATGGCACTGGTGAGGAGAATGGCAGCTAAGATTAAACAATTGAGGTATCCTCCACATGGGGAAAAAGCTATGGTAGCACCTTACTGCCTAGGAAGAAAAAATATGTCATTTATGTGGATACTCATGGAAAATGACTTATAAACAACAACACATGCATGGAACTCCTGTAATTGTTGTCAATGTACTCAAGTCATCCAGAGAGGAGAATTAGGACACATTTAACCAAGGGTCTGGCAGATTTACATTGAACTTCTTACCCCCCAGCCCTGGGCACAGACGATGCCTCACTAAGCATTAACAGCTACTCATGCTATAATATTCCTATTCTGGTCATATTTTTGGGAGACCCCATGGACTTCACTCTAAGGAACATCCTTCACTCTCCAAACAAGACAACAATGAGCACACTCTCAAGGAATGTGAACTTTCCATGCACCCTATCACCTGCATGTCAATGGAGCCACTGTACAAATGAACAGCAACTAAACAAAAACTAAACAATTAAAGAAATGAACCAAGACATCCTGCTAACATATCTGTGTACCCCCATCGAACTAGGCCTGTATGGCTACTACTAAAGACTGGCATGGAAAACAAGGCATTGTGGCACATGTTGGAAAATATTGAGCTTGGATGGGATGGGAGTGGAGTTGGCCGCTGTGTGTTTAGGCTGTGCCCCATGAAATCCCAATCTAAGTATACAAATCATTCTTTTTCATTTTTCCTCTTCGAGTGTATGTCTCGAGTGGCTTGCAGTTCCAGCTGCTATAGCACCCCAGACAGTGCTCCTTGACTCTAATCAAAATGATATTCCCCTTGGGCACCTGTTTTACGGGATAGTGAACTGGTGGATGATATAACCAAGGAACACTGGTGTGCTAGGTTCCTTCTGGTGGTGCTAGTATCATTTGGCTCTTCTCATCAGATGGATGCCATTACTGGACATGTAGAGTTTATGCAAGATGTGACCCCCCTACATAGACTGGCCAAAAAGTCTGGGTTAAGCAACAAGAGCACTGGGGGCCCACAGAGGTAGCATTAGGATTGGGACAGACAGTCTGGGTTGCAATGTCCAGGCAGCCAGTTCCACAAGTAGTAGATGAGATATCCTGGCCTCAGGAGGTTCATGGAATGAGAGGGGTGTGGGAACATTCATCTCTCCTCTTTTCATTCCTATAGAAGTTTCTATTGTGATAAAACACCCTGACAAAAATCAGGATAGCTGTAGTGAGAGGAGACAAAATAATGCTACTCAGACCTCCCTCAAATTGCCAGGTGACCCTTTTGATACAGGTCCAGATGCAGTCATTCTCTGAAGTCCCCTGCTTTAATATTACCTATAATGTGACAGAAACAACCAGAATGATTATTACTGATCTATACATAGTGGCATTTCGAACCTGGAAGCTCTGTGTGTAACTTTTCTCTCTCTGCAACCATGTGGCAAAAGCAAGCTGAGATTGTATATCTAGTCAGCATTATGAGAACAAGTCCCTGAAAGGTGTCACCTGCACCCCTCTGGGTTATATATTTTCTCTACGGACCCCCCAAATGGGTAACAAAATGTCAGCCTCCAGGGGAAGGATTTTGTTGTCCAAAGAGTTAAAGGGCTCACAGTCCAAGTGAGCAACTTCACAGACGGCTGGAAAGAAATCATTTTGCTAACACACTGGAGTGGCTCATAATACCCTCCTGGGAAGACAAACTAACCACTGGTTTCATTCTGTTGTCCAAATTCTAATACCAGGTATAGGTATAGAGGGACTAGAAAAAATACTGTACAACCTGTCCTTAACCATGGCAGAACAGCTAACACTATTGCCCAGCCATCCAAGACAAACAAGACTCACTAAAATGCACCAGTCAAGGTAGTGATGGGTAATCAAATAA